TTTCAGTAATTATTATTATTATTATTATTATTATTATACATATTTTATCATTTATGTTATTATGTCTCTAAAACATGGTCCACAAATGACCAGCTAATTTAGTGTAAATATAAAAAATACAATAAAATATAAAAAATGTTAACCATTCGCTGACTTATAATATTATTATTATTATTGTTATTATTACATCATGTATTGTATATGTATCAGGTATGATGTTATGTCTCTAATACATGCAGTCCACAACATAACCAGTTAATTTAGTGTTAATATTATTTTTAATATAATGTCAAATGTCAACCATTAGCTAACTAATTTATAAGTTGACTATACGTCAGCAGCAGGGATCACCCACGCCCCGCCCCCCGCCCAGTCTGTAATAAGGGCTGCTAAAATAAAGAAATAAATATATATAATGCAAAATCAGATAATACAGTCTGACTAGTAATAATAATACTTATTATGATGATGAATAAGATTATTATTATTATTACATCATGTATTGTATATGTATCAGGTATGATGTTATGTCTCTAATACATGCAGTCCACAACATAACCAGTTAGTGTAAATAATATTTTTAATATAATTTCAAATGTCAACCATTAGCTAACTAATTTATAAGTTGACATTATTATTATTATTATTATTATTACATCATGTATTTTATATATTTTATCAGGTATGATGTTATGTCTCTAATACATGCAGTCCACAACATAACCAGTTAGTGTAAATAATATTTTTAATATAATTTCAAATGTCAACCATTAGCTAACTAATTTATAAGTTAACTAATAATAATAATAATTATTATTATTATTAATTATCATTATTATTATTGTTGTTGTTATTGTTATTATTTATTATTATTATTATTAATTATTATTGTTGTTGTTGTTGTTGTTATTATTTATTATTATTATTATTATTTGTAAACTTATAAATATGATTATATTAAATCAGATTAAATTATTTGATTTAAACGATTAAATCCATGTTTATATATCAGATATTTATCAGCGCTCATATATTATCTCTAATATAAGCAGTGCAGTCCACAGCATGAGCGCTCAGAGTAAATAAGTAGAAATGTCAGCCGTTAGCAGAGTAGAGTCTCTAATCTAATCACTATTCCTGCTGCATTACTGCTCGACTGAAGCCTCGAGGCTGAAAGATCCTGCAAAACTGCGTTTGGTGTCCAAGGAGCCTGAAGAGTCCTTTCAGAAGAAGCCAAGCAGCTCCAGTGAAAGGAGAATCAGAGAAAGAGTGGACGATTCTCAGGAGCATAGCTATGAGAGTTTTTCAGTTTGTTCACCGCGCTGTGAGCTGATCTTCACAAAGACATCAGGAAACTTCCCGATCAGTGACAAGAGCCTGTGTGTTTATAGTATTTGATGTGTTATGTGCCGATGCTGCCGTCACAAACAGCTTTGCTTTGGATCAAGGCTGAACATAAGTGAAAGTTTTTGTTCTTTTTGGCTGTGATGGAGAGCTTTATTTGTGCCAGAGGTCATTCTGATGAGAAAGACGTGGCTGGACTCGGTTGTGTTGATGCTCAAGAGCTTTAAAACTCTACCACACCTTCTCAAAACTCAGATCCAA